TGTGTATGATTTTATGGTACACCTTCCCCAAAGGAGCCACAGGGGTTGCGGTGTACAGGAGTACTAGAGTGCATGCTATGTGTTAGCGCGTCAAAATTAATAATCACCACGTCAGAGGTTTCTCTTCCCCGAGCCCTCTATTTTAGCGGTGAGTGTGTGATTTTCTGGCTATGTTTCTTTCCCCGGGCTTTAGCCTGACATGTTCTCAGTGTCTCTCCCCGATGCCGCTTCGCTTTCATACCTGACAAAATCCGCTCAACCACGCCGGCTTCCGACTGTGCCGCGGAAGGTGTGCGTGGAATCACAATGATGTGTCAGTGAAGAAGCATCCCTGCCCCCCAAAGGCAGATAGCCAGCTGCATTTAGAGCGCCAGCCGCCCACTGCCTTCATACACAGGAAGTAATGAGGCTTGGCCCCCTGAGCCAAATCAACCCCAGACATAGATGGGACACAGAGACAAACATAACACATACAGAAAACTCAGGCGTGTAAGAAAAGGAAACAAGGAAATAAAGGAGGAGGAGTGGATGAAGAATAATATTAGTGTAGGACATGCAAAGGTGGAGGCTGATGCGCATCAGGGTGAAAGAAACAGTTGGAAGACAGGAAAGAAGATGAACGGTTCAGGTTTCAGCATTGCGGCTAATGGACGGCTGCATGCCATCCTTCAATACAATGGGATAATAATACAGATACGAATGAGAGATGCGCTCTCATTGGGGCGATTTTAAAACCATGTTAGTGTCTCACTTATTCAATTGGACTCCTATGGAATATACAACATAAGCCTCTCCTGGTGCATTACCATGCAAGCCTCACCAAAACATGAGATCATTTTGCAGTCGTAAAGATGAATGTGCTCGCACATGGCCACTACCAATGCATTTCATCATGTTCCCTCTCAGACAATCCTCAGAGAGTAAGTCCAAGCAAGGGCGGAACAGGCTTGTATTATATTATACAGTAATGCATTACCAGACACAATATTGCACATTCAAAATCCAACTTACAGTCCACTACTCTTTTGCTGTTTGCCATTCTTATTTATAAAACAGCTTGGCCCAACAATAACACCTCTCTTGTTTGATGCTGATCTATTCCAAGAACCAAATCTGGTCTCCAACCATCTCACATTTCACAATATAAAGAAACTCCACACTCTTTCAGGAAGAAAGTCTATCACTGCATTAATGTATCATATAGAGCTGCACAGGAAAACAAATGTAAAAATAAATGCACAGTAATATTCATATTTAAACACTGTAAACAATAAAAAAGCCAGCAAAGGTGCATTTAATTTTCAGGTGGCAGTAAATTCTGGCCCAGATTTGGCATAAAGGGTGTGGGCCAAACATAACCCGGGTATGACAGAGGTGGCATCGACTTTAAGGTGGCACGCAAAACATGGGCCATATCTTAAATGTAGAATTTAGTCCAGATGTTAAAAACTGATATGTGGGCCACATAAGTTTGGCCTTTCTTGACCCACATCTAAAATAAAATTTTTAAGTGAAGAAAAATTTTTTACCAATCAGGTCACTATAAGAAAACACGCCCCTAAGCGAAATACTTTATGTGTTTAACAATTGTATTGCAGTCTTGACACACCAACATATCTGGCCCAGTTCAGGCCCACTTATGGGTTATTAATTTGACTGAGACTTGGCCCAGAGATGGTCCATGTTTGGCCCTTTGTCTGGAAGCCAGACTTAGTCCAGCCAAGCAAAAGCTAATTGTGTGGGCCATAGCTGGGCCAGAGAAATTTTGCTATGTGGGTTATGTTAAAGTGTCAGCCCATAGCCCTACCCCTTCACATGAACACCCAAAACAAGGAGTAGAGGTGTCACAATTCTCTTTAGCTTGAAGTCTTAGTGCTAAGGGGAAAGGCTAGAAAACCCTTGAAACAGAGATTTTGCAGGAATATGTCCAAGTTGTAAATGCACAGTACAGTTATGAGCTTATTGCCACATTATATTGTTATGATATACGCCTTCAGTGATTTCCTGAAGATAAATACCAAAGTAAATGCAACAAATAACTACAGCAGTCAGCATCATCAATCTCATATGAAGAGATCGCGATGACATATGATGACGTGTGCAGTGTTGTAGTGCTGTCCCATTTCCTAGGGGTCAAGTTTTAAGCCCTTTCCCTTCACACTCTGTTTCAAGGGCCTAGGGCAGCGGTGTTCAAACTCTGTCCTGGAGGGCCGGTGCTCTGCACAGTTTACCTCCAACTTGCTTTAAAACACCTGCTAAGAAGTTTCTAGTATATCTAGTAAGAGCTTGATTAGCTGGTTCAGGTGTTTAATTAAGGTTGGAGCTAAACCGAGTTTGGACACCTCTGGCCTAATGTAAGGGGTAAAAAATAGAATTGGGATTGGGCCTTAGTTAATCCCAAAAATGTGTTATTAATTGCTCAATCTCATGTCATTCCAAGCCCTTGAGATCTTTGTTTATCTTCAGAACACAATTTAAGATATTTTAGGCACCCCTATAATGTCACTGAGGAGAAGAAACTAAGTCCTTATTTAAGTTTTATGTGTGCTAAAAAAAGGATTCTCCTAGCTTGATGCTATCCTGATTGAACCACTAAAGGCATATGTTCTGTTTTGAGAATGTTTTTGGTACCTGGTCTGAACTTTGAACAAGCCAAAAAAAACCTTGCTGTCTATGTCAGAGCTCTCAGATTTCACCTAAAATATCTTAATTTGTATTCCCAGGACAAATTAAGGTCTCGGGGGGTTGAGGAAGAGTGATTAGTAAAATAATTGTGATTTTTGGGTGAACTATCTCTTTAAAATATATATTTAACCAACTATTCTTTGCTTTCCATCTTTCTAACTGACTGCCAAACAGCTATTCAACTCAAGAAGAAATGCTTTTTGAGCACCAACACATTCGAATGATTTCTGAAGTATCATGCTATTGAACACTGAAGTCATGTCTGGTGGGAACTCACAGGAATACGATTATAATTTAACAATTGTAATAAAATTTCACAGTAAAGTTTAACCAACCAAAAACCAATGCATATCTTGTTTGTTTTTTAATATTTGGACGTCTACAGTACTAAGGATGCACCACTTGAAAACCTTCTCAATAGGTATACACACTGGGAAATCGCGGGCCCACCCATAAAAACTTGTCACAGGTCCTCTGAATTTTAATATTGACCCTGGCACAGACAATGTCAATGTATAAATAAATGAAAAAGACAGCCATGCGGTCTGGAAGAACTCTGGCCGTAAGCATAGTTTCTTTGGCCCCAGAGTCAGGGCCCTCTTTTGCCCCTCACCCCTTCCTTATCAGTATTCGCCCCAGGGCACTTTCAGCTCGAGAGAAAATTCACTGCACTGTGAAAGAGAGAACGTGTGGCATTAAATTATACATAAGCTTCTCTTTATACAAGCAGTTTGCTATGTTCTCGCTGTTACGACTAGGGTGTTGGATCCAGTTTACATAGTCACACATAACTATATAGCAATGAAAATGTCGCCAAGGGGTATAAAGATGCAGATCTTGACTCGATTGTTCCCTTACAAAAACACACAAGCCAGGGTTAACAGCTTAGATTTGTATATGGTGTAATCCTCTCTATGTGTTCTGTGTGAGGAAGAAGCGGGAGCTGTAATGTGTGCATTTAAGTTATCACTGCAATTGTCTTCTCTTTGTAAAGGGCTGTTTAAAGTCCCAGGATTGGATGACATTCAAACTCACGCTGGCTAATTGGTGCTGACTGACAAAATTGATGGCCTGTTTTTAACACCTTGCTTTATAAATAAACAGCGTTCCACATTTGATTACAGAAGTATATCAAATAAGCATGCAGACTAATGCTAATTCCCAATTTCCTATTCCCTAATAAAGCAAAATCATTTTTTCACTCTGAAAACTGAGCCAGGATTTTGTCTGAATAGCACATTCTCTCGGGATTCAGGTGAATTGAGCAGTGCTGGAGTGTAACTAACACAAACTCACTAACTTAGTAGCGTGACAGTAGATTGGATTCTTTGGATTTAGCATAGCTTTTCCATGAACAAGCTACTTTTATTGGTGAGTGCTACATTGTGTGACAAAATCCAAGAACAATCCAACTGAAATGTCTCTCTCACACAGGCAAATGCTGTCGCATTGCAATGCCATGCTATTAATTGTGAAGTAGGTTACTTAAGTACTGAATGCATTTAAAAAAAATAATTGTATAAAACTAGCTTAACTAAATTATGAGTGGCTTGTAGCCTGACAGCTATTATTTCAAAATAGAAACCTTAGCACTGGAACTAACAGGATTATCATTCAGACATACAAGGACATACATGGAGTCATACAGGCACAGATAACAATGTAAATACTATTTCCCATTTGCAGCAATCTAGTATCTCTCATCATCAGTTCTTTCTTGTGTGTGCACACACTCCCTTCGTGAGTGTCTTAGCATGTATCCACTGCCTTAAGTCTACCTACTATACCTACTGCAGTACTCATATCTTTACTTATCTAAATGGAATCTCCACCCTAAGACCTGATCTCCACTGACAGGACAAGAGCAGCCAGCACCCTCTCTAGCACTACTACACTTCCTCTTTTGCTTTCTATCTGTCTCTCCACCTCTCACCTTGAGCATCTGCTTTAGATCAGGCAATCTCTCTCTCTAACAACAGACCTGCTTTATATGGGAATACATGCTAATGCTATTGCGCGGAGAAAAAAAAATGGAAGCTGCAGCACTGGGAGTCATTATTCCTGAAAACTGATATGAAACAAACAGAGCAAGTGGGCAGACGTGTCCACACGATACAGAGAGGATAAAGACAAAGATGAAAAACAGTTGCCTATGTGCTATCTCATTAACATGCAGAACTAATGAACTCAGCAGCAAGCACGAACACTGTTAGACTGCTTCACTCCCTCTTTGTAATGCCAGAAAGCGAGCTAGAATAGGTATCTATAATGAAGTTTGAAAGGATTTTTTTCAAGAAGCAAACAAAATCAGTACTGACCAAATGATGCGGCTATAGAACTGAAAAAAGGTGTTTCATAAAATCATGGATCATCACAGGCAGTGGGACAAGCACACGCAAACAAACACATCCATATTTATAAATTAAACCGTTTAGTTGATCACACTTACGTGTCCTGAAGCGATGGTGTGGGCGAGTAGGTTTGGTGGAAGGCCCCTTGGAGGAGCGCCCATGGTTCCAGCGTTGACCAGGCTTGGAGGGCGATGCAGGGGTAGAGGTCGGTTGGGCAGCTTGGGTGGTGGTAGTGCTCGTTGTAATCGTAGTGGTTGTCGTGCTAGTGGTGGTCGGACTCGGTGGCCCAGCTCGTGCAGAAGGTGATGCGCTTCGACTCCCGCCCTCACCATTGGGCTTTCGGACAGTGGTGCTGCGTGGAGTAACCTCCTTTCCTCCTGGTGGAGCAGGATTGGTGGCCCGGGTTGTGGTTGTGATGTTGGTCACTCGCGTTCCCACTCTGTTATGCAGGTGTGGAGCTCTGTTTCCTGAGCCTCCCCCTAACCCCCCACCGCCACCTCCACTGCTGCTACTGCTACTGGCCGTGTGGTTTGAGGACTGCCCAATTCGAGTTCTTTGCACTGTACCTGTGCCCTCAGCTGCTCGAGTTGCAGAACCTGGAGCTGCTGAGGGAGTGGTGGAAGTGGTAGATGCTGAAGCATCAGAACCCTTAGGCAGGGAACTGGGTTTAGATAGAAAAATCGGGTCCTGTCCAATGCGATTGGCGTCCACCAGATCAGTTGGGACGTAATCCTGCACTGAGCCCACCACAATCCATTTTAGAAGCATCAGGCTGAGGCCCAGGCCCACAAAGCCCATCAGCAAGGGCACAACACAAAGCCAGGTCTGCTGGCGTGGCCAGACTGCACAGGGGCCACAGCGGAGGGGCCCTGGGGCCCGGGGAGAGGCTTGTTCACCCCCGGGCTCCTCCAGGGTCATGGTCTCCATGGTGGCCCCTAGTGCTGTTCTCTCACTCATGCTTCTGGGGTTCAGGGCCCAGCCAGGAAGTAGTGCAAGCAGTGGAGGGGGCTGGGGAGGGAGCCAAAACTGGGCATCTCATTAATATTCATTTAACACTCTTCCACAGCTACAGATACATGCAATACTGACTACTCACTTGAAAAGCACAGCGAACATCAGCTTATATATATTTATATACATATACGTATATGTATATACATATATAAACACATAAATAAATAGATTATATACAATACAGTAAACAAACCCTAAATCCCGAAGACACAAGTAGTCACGTACACACGCACACACACACGCACATACACGCACATACACACGCACTCGATCAGAAACCTAAAAGGAGTGGGTTTGGGAGAACAGCGGGTTTTGGGAACAAGCCTCTGTTTAGTTCAGCTTCCGAAGAACCAAAGGTAATTCCCAAGACGTTCCATATATAGAGGCAAAAAATAGAACAAAAATTAAGTTTTGCAGATCCGTCGGTGTTCTGCCTGGAGTCAAATTTTCCTTGTAAATCCGTGAGTGTTAGTGCGAGGGCAGCTCCCTGCTGCAGATCTTCTCTCACAGCTGCATTAACGCATCGGTCGTCGCGGCTGGCGCAGCCCTGCCTCTGTGTGTGAGTTTGTGCGTGTGTGTGTGTGTGTGTGTGGAGAAGCTCAGGTAGTGGCAGAAGCACAGCTCCACACAAGGGACAGCTCTGCGTCTCTCGTTCTCCCTCAACACGGCACTTTGTCTCTGGCTACGTAGCTAAGATCTTCCCTCTAGTCTCTACAGCGGTGCATCAGTGGACACGGGTAGCCGGTAATCCACCCCACAGGAGAGAACAGCGGAGAGGGGGAGAATGATGTACTGTGATCAGGCAGAGATGGCTGCGAGGGTTAAATCCATCAGATCCTTTTCCCAATCCCTGCCCTCAGTTCTCCCGTTTTGTCAGTGCACATCCGAGCTTCTGCCCTGCATCCGTCATTGCACCAGAATTCAAAGGCAGTCCTGTCTCTGAGCTTGCTACATTCCCACACTGAAAGACTCAGACCTTGGCAGAAACACAGGCACACAGAGTGTGAGAGAAGCGAGCAGAGGGAAAGAGAGGGAGAGAGAGAGAGAGAGAGAGAGAGAGAGAGAGAGAGCGGAAACAAGAGAGGGAGAGAGAGCAAGCAGTAGAATGTGCGACGGATAGAAAGCAGAAGAGGAGGGAGAGTGAGTGGGTGAGCATGAGACTGGGAGAGAGTGAGATAGAGAAGGGAGGGGGGAAAGGAGAGAGTGCTGCTCTGAAAACTGATGCGGCTGCTTTTCTTAGAGGCTGCAGTGTGTGCGTCTGCATGTGTGTTTTCTTCAGTGTGTATGTGTGTGTATGTCACAGAGAAGGGTGGGGGTGTGTGAATGATGCTAGTTATAAATTTCTTGAGCAGCCACTCTTTTGCCTTCCTGGACTTTCCATCTTTGTTGACTGCATATGTCCAGATTGACAAACATGGACTGCCAAATGAGTGTACTTGAGCTTGTTTGT